GTGCTAGGACTTGGACCAGGTAAGGCTACAGAGGAACCAGAAGAAAACCAGCCTCTGGGCCTCTGCTTGGGGGAAGAGTGAGGGCTGCTGCTTGGGGTAGACTGGGCTGACGCAGGCTGCTTCTCTTCCTTTGTTATCTCTCCACTCTGCAGCTTTAGTTTGCGGAGTGCTTCTGCTACTCGGAGGTACTTGGTTTCCTCGGTGGTAAGGCCCTTGTGCGGTGTGTAGCCAGCATCTCTCAGTCCTGCCTGTTGTTCAAAACGCTGAATGCTCTCCTGTGTCTGTTTTGTGATCAGAGAATTCATGATGACATGGGTAGCTTTGGCCTTCACCACTGGGACCTTGTCCGTACTGTCAGTGACCGTTGACAGGGTCATGGCAGTGGGGGATACACTGGCCTCTCCTTCCTCCTCCTTGGCAAGGTGCTGATACTTGCGCTCTGGAATCACTGGCTTCCAGGGGATGCTGCCCATGTCCTATGGAGGAGGAGTCATGGGTGCAGGGTCCTCAAGGGCATCATCATAGCTGAATGCCCTACAGCACATCCTGATGGGCAGGGACATCTTGCCTAGGGGCCTAGTAGGCCCAAGAGCAGGTACTTCTGGTTGTCTTGAAGCCATTGATAGACTGGGATCCAGGTTTTTTTCAATTTATAATTCGGAGCTGAGTCCCTGCCACCACAGTGAAATGATGTCACCACTATGCTGACAGACAGGTATTAATGAGGAACATTGTCCAGGTGCTGCAAATTAGCAAGGCTTCCCAGGAAGAGTCCATCCAGAGATTCTGTTATCCTGCTGTGTCCAAGCTGCCTGTGTCCCCAACTCCGGCACTAAAGAGGATCCGAAGACCCACTTCTCTCAAGAGATTGTGGCGCAGTCCAGACCCAAGCCATCGTGGGAGCGGCGGCAAGTTCGACTGCTCGCACCACCGACTAGAGAGCACAAGCGCTCCTGTGATCTTTTACAATAAGTTTTTGCTTTCTTACAATGCTGATTCCAGGCCATCTTTGTTAACTTAGGGCTTGGGTGTGTAGAGCTCTGCAGATAGTCATCATCTTTAACATTTTCACATGGTCACTTTTTTATATGGAGTTTTTGATTAGTGTCAATTTGAGATAATGAATCTCAGGAAGAACTACTTGCTCTGTAGTTTTATTTGTAATAAATAACAACACCCTACACAGTGTGCTGTAATGAATTTAAAAGAATACTTTTGAATGAGTAAGAAAACAATATAGTAAATTTAGGACATAGAATTTCTGGGGCAAGTACTGACTTAAGGTAGAAAAACATTACATATTCATATGTATTGTGCATTTCTTTGAATGCAAAATTAATCTTTTCTATAAAACTACTTCATCCAATGTATAAATGTGATTTGCTACTTATACCCATGTAAGCAATAAACTGGCAAAACAGGAAGAATAACTGATAGGTCTGGGTGGTAGACGTGGAGGTGAGCCAACCAGATCCCTGAAGGAAGCACTTGGGCCCAACTGGGGAGTGGTGTCAGCATGGGCCTCCAGCTCCTGAAGGTGGAGAGCCTCCTTCCTCAAGGTTGTGTCCTTCCTGAGGGAGCCCTGCCAGTGAGTGATGTGGAGGTACATTGCAGTCTGCAATTCAGTGGAGCACTACTTGCTCCAGCGCTCCCTGCTAAGTTCATGGTATTTTGGGGGACTACACTGCAATTCAACCTCTTCCTCTGCCCAATTCTGCATTTTCAACTTTTATTTACTGGGTCTCAATTTCTAGGAAAAGTCCTGCTTCCCAAACTCTGTGTCAGTGTCTGGAGAACTCAACCTGCAATTCTGTATGTTCTGGTAGTGTAAAGAATATTGGCCAATTTACATCACTGAACATATCAAATGCAGAGGATTTAAGATTTTTCCTTAAAGGAAACAACAGAGATCTCTATGGAGCCCTGCTCCAGCCTTCTTTTTGACCATTTTCCAAATATGAGCATCTGCAGGTTTGAGGTGCTAAACTGAAATCAAATCCATCCTTACCAGTATTCACTCAACTCCATTTTCCTGGTTTCCATAAGGCGATACAAAACTGTTTAATTGCAAACGTTTGGTCCAGGAGAAATAAGACATCCTTGGGCCCACGAATATGAAAAGAGAAGCACTGTACATGTAGCAATTCCATGTAGAATTTCTCTTTTGACAAAATTTTACTGGCTCCAAAATGAAGCAAAGTAGGAATGATAAGTTTCTACAAGTAATAAGCACTAAGAGTTTGCCCAGAGTTAGGGTTAGGGTTAGGGTTGTGTTTTCAAACCTCACAGTGGACTAAAAATCCATGGCATAAGACTGCATTTCTGCAGGAAAAGGCAATGTAAAATAGCTAGGAAATAATAAAAAAAGACTCTTGAGAACTCTGTGCCTCTTTGATGGCAAAGGAAAGTGGTTCTGATTTCACCTTTCAGACCCTAATCTAAAACAAGGGACTCAAGAGTGATTTGAGATCATTTTCTTTTACTCAGTGTGAACTTCCAGGTAGGAAGATACAGTACCATGTACATGGCTCGTGGTGGGTACAGACCAGTTGGAGGCTTTGAATAGTACCTTAGTTTTAGTATTTTGTTGCAATAAAAAAATACCCAAGGCTGGGTTCTTTAT